TAGGAATCTAAATCCAAGTAGAAGTGTGATAGAAAATCAATAAAAGCAGTGAAACTAAAAGTTGATTCTTTAAAATGATCAAACAAATTGACAAACATTTAGGTAGCATGAACAATTGGATTGAGTGCAAAGAAGTGAAAAAATCCACGTTACAATGAAAACAAAACAAATTCTCTTCTTATAGAGAAATGGATCTATTTTCTGAATTCTTCCCTTAAAATAATCACTTAGCAGTGTGAAAGACTAGTGCACATACACATGGAAAAGATTCTTCAGGAATGTATTACTCTACTCTGTCCATAGAGATAGAACCAGTAGGGTGTATATGTGGAGAGAGCGAGCAAGCGAGCAAGCGAGTGAGAGAGAGATTTTATAGAGTTGGTTTATGTGATTATGAAGGCTTGAAAGTTCAAACTCTGTGCAGTAGACCAAGAGGCTGGAGACTCAGGGGCGAAGCAATGATGCAGTGTGCAAGGGTGTTTGCTAGTGAATTCCTTCTTCTTTTTAAAAGAGATCATTCTGCTCTGTTAGGCCTTCACCTGACTGAGTTAGGCCCACCTGTATTATACAGGGGAATTTGTTTTACTCACAGTTCACTGATTTACTTGTTAAACTCACTAAAAAACATCCTCACAGAAATACACAAAATAATGTTTAACCAACTATATGACAGTTGTGGTAAAGCTAGCTGACATACAAAATTAATCATGGTAGGAGTGAAAAGAAGACTTTACCCCTAATTTATGGAATCAGAAAATTAGATGAAGAGAGTTATATGTAGGTGTAATGTTTAGTCCAAGCAGTGGGAATGGGTTTCAGATTTCTGTAGATTCCTTGCTAATCTTGTCTATAGAGTGCTTTAGATGAAACAGTTAAATCAATAATGTTCTTGAATTAATAATGGTGAGAGAAACTTAGGGCTGCTGTGTAGTACTGCAAATGGTAGGGGGCTGAATCATAGGGGCATCAGTATTGAAGATTTGTTTTGGGCCAAACTTTAGCACAGAAAATAAAGAGAAAAATAAAATATATATCCTGCTTTCAAGAAGCTATTTTCTAATCAAAATACTAACATTATAATAGAACAATATAATGAAATGACTGCTTTATTGGATATATAGACATAGTATATTGTGAGCATAAGAGAAGCATCTAGATTTCCTGGGGAAACAGGGAATACTTTTCTGTGAGGGCAGTAATAAGCTGACTTGAAAGAGGCTGGTTGGAAAGATGCCAAGTTTAGAAGGCAATCAAGAATGCACGAGTGACACAAGGCATGTTAAAAAAACATGCATTTTCTAAATGAAGAGGATAAGATGTAGCAGGAAGGTAAAGCACGAGGTGGATTAGGGACAGTAGCTTTATATTCAAGTCATATATATCATGAAAATCTCTGAGTAATAAGATTTTGTACAGGAAAATTATATGATCAAGTGAATGTAAGAATTTTGTTGGCAAACTGAGGGTTTAAATAGGAGTGTTGAAGATTAGAGGGCAAGGGCTGATAGTTGTAATAGGAAAAGAAAGAGATGATGAAGGATCTAGGCCACAATATTTTTGGTATAGATTAAAACAGAACAACACGAATGCCAGAATGTAAGAGTGTATGTGTAAGGGGAAAGATAGAAAAGCAATAAGGATAGATGATCTATTAACTATAGCCATAAGAGAGAAATCAATAGTATGGGATGTCACCAAGGCTTCAGTCTTGGAAAGTCTGTTAAATAGGAATCTAAATCCAAGTAGAAGTGTGATAGAAAATCAATAAAAGCAGTGAAACTAAAAGTTGATTCTTTAAAATGATCAAACAAATTGACAAATACTTAGGTAGCGTGAACATTTGGATTGAGCGAGAAGTGAAAAAATCCATGTTACTAAATTAGGAATGACAAAGGGAATGTTTCTTATTAGTCAGCCTTCCCATTGCTAGAGACAATACCCAACATTACAATTTAAGGCAGAAATTTTAATTTAGTTTACAGTTTAGAGAATTTGGCTCCAAGACAGAACCATGATGGCAAAAGGATATGACAGAGCAAAACTGCTTAGTTCATGTTGTCTGGGGAGCAGAGCAAGGGAAGCACCAGAAAAGAACAGGGAGGGCCCATATATGGTACTCAAGGCCATGCATTCATGAACCATTCAGAAAAACAAGGAGTGTGCTCCACTAATCTGTTTAATGAGATTAATCCAATGAAGTCAACATATCAGGATTAATCAACTCCTTGTCAACTTCACATCTAAACCTATCTCCTTAAACTATACTTAATCTCCAAATAAAGTCAATAACAAGTTTATGCAACTTGCAACACAATAATCCATTCCCAAAAGTCCCTATAATTTCAGCTTTTTCAAAAGTCTCAGTCCAGGTTTCTTCTGAGACAAAAGACAAAAACCTAGGGAACTTCTGTTAAAAAAGTTACATGATCATAAGGTTTAACGGTACAGGGTAAACATTTCTATTCCAAAAGGAATAGGAAGATGAAAGAGAACCAGGTAAAAACAAGACCAAAAACCAAATCCTATAGCTCCATGTCCAGCATTTGGGGCACATGATGGTAAAAGGTGAGTTCCAAAGGGCACAGGTGGCCCAGTGCCTTTAGCCTTTCTAGTTGATGCCTGCATACCCTTGTTCTTGGGTTGGTTCTACTCATGGCCTATAGGTTTCCTTGGCTAATGGTTCATATCCCTGGCATCTCTGACTCCCTAATGTCTCCAGGGCACCTTCAACTTTATTCCCACAACTTCATGCATTGCCCTCTCCAGGTCTCCTTGACTAGCCTTTCAGGCCTTCCTTCAAACTCTTGGTAGAAGCCTCTCTGACCTTACAACTCTTGCATTGTGCATGCCAGCAAAACTAACATCATGTAAATAATAATAAAGTCTGCTGTCTTTCAAATTTAATTGAGAAATAAAATATTTTCATGGTAAAGAACAACTGAAGAAATTCATGAGTGCTAAACCAATCCTACAAAGAATACTAAAAGATATTCTAGAAAGAGATAAAACAGATTGCAACTTCAAGAACTACAACAGAAAGGAACCACCAAGCAGAGCAAGCTGTATACAAGAAACACATTTAACTCAAATGGAAATTCATAGACTGAAAATTAAAGGATAGAAAACAATACTCCATGTGACAGGAACCCAGAAAAAAAGTGGGTGTAGCTATTCTGTTTGCAGACAACATGAACTTCAAACCAAGAGCAATCAAAAGAGATAAAGAAGGTCACTACATACTTGTGAGGGGGAAGCTTCAAGAGGAAGAGATAACAATCAGAAACATCTATGCACCAAATATAGGAACACCCACCTATATAAGACAAATTTTAACAGACATGAAAAATGAAATAAGTAGCCACACAATCATCACAGGGGACTTTAACACACCATTGTCACAAAGAGATAGATCAACTAGACAAAAAATTGGGAAAGAAATAACAGAACTTAACCAAACATGTTAACATATGGACTTAGTAGACCTTTACAGAGTGTTCCACCCAAGAGCATCAGAATACACATCCTTCTCAGCTGTACCTGGGATGTTCTCTAAAATAGACCATATACTAGTACATAGAACATGTTTAAGTAAATGCAAAGGAATTGAAATTATCCCATGTATACTAGCAGACCATAGTACAATGAAATTGGAAATTAATGACAAAAGAAAACACAAAAACTCTATGAACAGTTGGAAATTAAACAACATCCTCCTGAACAACCAATGAGTCACAGATGAAATCAAAGTAGAGATTAAA